TACTACTGGTAGTATATGCGTCTGTGGATGGGAGGGGAAATGACTGGAGTCTGTGTCGAGAGACGCCCGATGTGTCTGATTAAATTTACTATTTTATCGCTTTCTCGACTGATCGAGCTCGAGAAATATTATCCAATCGAGTCACTGATGTACATTCATGAAGGGGACCATTCATTGAAGTGGCCGATCCGCGATGCTGAACTCTTTTGGGCGTTGTCGTATGCTCATGTAGTTAGTCATGTATAATTACTTTCATTTCCACTCTAGATGAAGGTTGATTTTACATTTTATCATTGAAGTGGTTCATCGTCTCGCGCTGTCGTGGTCGGGCGAATGCTCTTGTTGTTTAGACGATCCGAGATGGCGGATGTGGTTGAACCCTAGAGGGACGCAAGGAGAGGATGAGACGCTGAAACTGCCGATCAATGTTACTCCGGAGGAATTCAATGGCGCGGTAAAAAAACTGAAGCGAGAGCCTGCTGAAGGAAAGGAAGCTGCTGCATGGTTGTTGGCAGCTAGCGTGGGTAGTTGTACGGGTATGTGAATCTCGCCCGCCCGATTGATCGATGTGGTTGGAGTAATAGTAGGCGAACGAGGGAGATAGCGGCAGCATAGATTTCTGGGAAATATTAATTTGAGGAAATGCAGTTTTTGGATTATTTCCCGCGGAACTGACGAAGTGAATTTGGTGATTAATTGGGGCGAGTCGAAATGGTTTAGTCCTTTGCGCGGATGTTGGTGTTTGCAATGCAGGTGAGGGAGAATCATCGCGGGCGCGCGCGTTGTCGGCTTTGAATGAGTGCCTACCTCACAGTGCAGAGAGGTTATTGCAGAGCTTGGCTGAAGCGAGGAAGTTGGATCCTGAGGGGTGGAGCGTGGAGAAGGAGAGACGATTTCTGAAGAGTTTGGGAAGGTAGTCGTGGGTTCGAATCCTGGTAGAGGCAAGTTGGTATTAAAATAATAATTTTAGATGTCTGGACACGTTGGCGACGGATAAACGGCGGTTTGAGGGCGCGATTGACGCCTGGATGGATTTGGTGTCGTCTTGGCCGGCTGAGAGAGTGATAGAGGACTTGGAGCCGTCCCCTCTGGTAGTTTACGGGGGGGCTGTGGGAATTTACTTGAAGTGAAACCGCACATCCAAAGTGAGTTACTTTGACGGTTTAGAAAGCGGTTGACGTGATGTGGTGTAGTAGAGGTGGAGGGGGGTAGTCGGTGGAAGCTTCATTGGTGGAACTGGCCTAATTTCAAATTGAAGCTAAACCGGTTTGTATGATCTGTTAAAAAGTGTAATAACATTGAATTAATCGTAATATATCATAATATTGGAGTTTCACTCGTTTTACGTGAAGTGGTGTAAAACTCGATGAAAAAGGCGATATCCGCGGAGGCCTGTAGTAGTCGTGAAATATGTTTTTCATGTCACTAGGGTGAAACTCCATTGAATACTAATATCTCTAGTACAATATATAATGATGTAATGGTAGGAAGGACATGTATGTCGGACGAACGGCAGAAGCCGATATGAAAATCATCAAGAATATATCGCGAGGCTAACGATG